ATCACGTCTCTCTGTGTCGATCCTCGCAACCAGCATTGGGCAGTGGTCGGAACGGAAAGGGGCTTAATGGCGCTTTACGATCTCCGATTTCAGCTGAAGGTTATGGAGTTCAAGCATTCCCACAGTAAGCACATTTGCTATGATATCGCTTAAGTGTTGTAAAGCTACTTCAGTACCTGTGTATCCGGACAGATTTACACTTTGTTCTTGAAAACTTTTTTGCACTTAAACTGCTGCTTAGCATTTGCAGTGAGCTGCTTTTGCTTGCTACAGACCATCATAGTTAAGCAAACATTATGTGACTATATCATACATATATGTAGACTTCGCATGGGTAGTAAGCAGCATATTTCAGAAAGGGTCCTTGAAGTGATAGAGCTGCCCGGTCTGGTTGGTTAAGACGACTGTTCTGCGCTCCACTCGCCACTGATTTCTTTCCATGACCAAAACCTCAATATGCTCCCCTTCTCTGTATCCATTACGCTGGATGAAGATTGTGAAGGCGTTGGCAATAATTCACGAGTAATGGCACTGGCACCCTGAATGGACTGCCTAACTACGCTCAAGGATAAACGCAAACCGCAAAATTGGTTTAGGCTACCACGTCATGTTGAACAATGCCTGGGACTCGGTAAGCCACAGGACGTGATTCACTAACCTACATGAAACTTTATCAAGATATTCTTGACCAGCCGTGGTGCAGACACGTTATCGAAGACGCACATGTCGACGTCTGTATCAAAGAAACGGACCTGATCAAGGCGTGTTTCGTTAGAATATGCAAGACGGAGATCTACCAAACTTGCACAGTGGAATAAACGTGGCCTAGTGTTCTTTAGGAAGGCCTTCAACAAACGAGCTCAGACCTGGAGGTGTTGGTTTTATGATAGAAAGGAGGGAGCCACTCTTCAATCGGCTAAGCTGGTACAGTGACAGCAATATTGATGAATAGCGGCTAATGCATTTGTAATTTACGAACTCGTAAATCGTTTTCGCACAACAACGATGGAGCTGCAACAGTTATAAGAAGAATTTCTCATGATCGGTTTCGAGATTAAAGAGAAGTCGATTGGTAACGAGCATTACTCCCTGGAGCTACATTTACGCCTCTGGCGAAGAACTCTGTGAAGTAGCCAGCTGTGCATATGTTTGTCGCCAGGTGTACTGAACTCGTCAAATGAGGAAATCATCCGAAGAAAGAAGGCGAAATGAACCAGCTTTAATCGTATTAAAACATCATTACTCGACAGTTAGCTGATCATGAAGGCGAAGAACCATCTTTTCGATTCAACCATGGTACCAGCCATGATCTACAACGCTGAATTTTGATTTGCTTGAAAAGTCGAGGAGAACAAGCTGGTCGTCATGCAGACATCGATGGAGCTAAAAATGTACATGCCCCTGATGGATCAAATTCTACAAAAGACTAGATTAACAGACGAAATTTGTGCCTTCTGCGAGACCAAAAGAAGATGAATCAGTCATGTGGTTCGCCTGAGAGACAACCGATGTACCTGAAGATTACAGACTGATTCTG